TAATATTTAATAAACAATTGATTTAATCACGTTATTGTTAGCACACTGTGAGGCAAAGCCCACCAATTCCCCCTTAGTGTAGATGATATCGTTTGTTAAAAAAAAATCATTTGATAACTAATTTAATCACATTATTATCCGCGTGCGAAAAACTTTTTTATAACCTGCATTACAGGTCTCTTAAGATGTTTTGAATGTGTTTAAAATAGAGAGAATAATATTTAATAAACAATAAATTGAATCACATTATTATTAGTTCATTATGAGACTAAATCCACCTCATTCCCCCTTATTATAGATAATATCATTTGTTACAAAAAAAAAAATCATTTGACAACTAATTTGATCATATTATCATTTGCATGTGAAAGAGCTTTTTTATAACTGACATTACATTCATCTTAAGATGTTTTGAACATGTTTAAAAATAGATAAATTGAATCACATTATTACTAGTCTATTGTGATGTATTAATTAAAAAAAATCACAAAATTATTAATTATTAAAAAAACTACGATTGAATTGACGAAAATGCCCTTGCCTTATTTGATGCATTATTTTGGAATGTCTTTGAAGATTTTTGTTTTGGGGCATTTTTTTCCAATTTTTTTTGGTGAAGCATTATGACACCAAAACACTATTCACTTTGTGTTGGCTTTATATATAACTACCCTTCATGCACGCGCTCACGCGCGTGTAGAATGCATTTTTTGAATCACGACATGCTACGCGCGACTTACACATTTTAAATCATGTTAGAAGAAGAGTCAAATATTTGAAGTAAATGAATAATCTTAGATCATGCTAGAAGAAACCCCTCATAAACCAATTAAAGCAGCTGAATTCACATAATAAAATCAGTTTATATAGAATTTACATTAAGAATAGAGAAAATAATATTTAATAAACAATTGATTAAATCACATTATTGTTAACCCATTGTGAGGCAAAACCCACCCCCACCCCTCTTAGTGTAGATAATATTGTTTGTTAAAAAAAAATCATTTGATAACTTATTTAATCACATTATTATCCGCGTGCAAAAAACTTTTTTATAATCAGCATTACAAGTCTCTTAAGATGTTTTGAACGTGTCTAAAATAGAGAGAATAATATTTAATAAACAACTAATTGAATCACATTATTGCTAGCCCATTATGAGACTAAGCCCACCTCATTTCCTCTTAGCATAGATAATATCGTTTGTTACTATAAAAAAAAAGAAACAATCATTTGACAACTAATTTAATCACATTATTATCCGCGTGCGAATTTATAATTGGCATTATACATCTCTTAAGATGTTTTGAATGTATTTAAAAATAGATAAATTGAATCATATTATTGTTAGCCTATTGTGAGGTACTAATTAAAAAAAAAAAAACCACAAAATCATTAATTATTAAAAAAATACTACTAAAATGACTAAATGCCATTGCCTTATTTGATGCATTATTTTGGGATGCCTTTGAAATTTTTTGTTTTGGGGGCATTTTTGTCCAATTTTTTGGTAAATCATTATGACACCAAAACACTATTCATCTTTTGTGTTCTCTTTATATATAATAGATAGATAGATAGATAATTCGGGGGCCAGGAAAATGAATGTGAGCCAATTGTTGACCACATTCATACAGGCACAAGGCAATGAGAACCTAAAAGGTTTACAAGATAATGTTAGTAGCAATAATAGTATGACCTAATAGTAATAACACCAAATCTTTGTCATTTAATATTACGGTCTGGTGATATTTCTTTTCACTTGGAAGTGAAATCTTAGGTACAAATCTTGTGGATGGCGAATTCGATGTCAAATTAGGTTGCCCATTGTTTGACTTAACCGAACTCCCCATTTCCTTAGTTTTAAAAATAAAAATGGATTAAAAAAAATAACACAAAATTTTCAAATAATGATATATAAACTAAGAAATAGAGGAATCAATTGGTTATGAACTCGTTATTACGAGATTTAATTTTTTTTTAAACAAATAATTTTATTTGCACTAATTAAGAGGGATGTGATCGTAGATTACCTTACAATGAGGTAACAATATGAATCAAATTCGTCTTTTACGATAATCGAACCTAAGACTTCTCACTTACAACTTACAAGTGAAGTGGTACCACTAGACCGTAGTACTAAGTGACTACAAGATTCAAACTTAAGACCTCTTAGTTATAGTGAAGAAAAATACTAATAAACTGTAGTAAGTGATTACTAATTTTCATGATTCTATGGTAAATGGAAGAAACTCTTTGAATAGTCCAATTTTACTCGAAGAAAATGACAGGTGGATTGGTTAGAATGATGATTCTCTGGATTCTTTGTGTGAGGATTCTGAGGATTTCCTAATCATATTTGTTTATCGTATATCGTGCGGTCAGAAATCATTGTAAATTTTTTTATTTAAAATTATTTATAAACAGTATTTGATGAAAACTGACTGTGCAATATACAATAAACGAATGTAATCAGAAGATCCTTAGAATCCTCACAATCACAAAGAGGATCTAGAGAGGATTCTTATTCGATTGGTTATAACTTATACCACGTAGGGATATTTGAAAAGACACCTCATCACCCAAGTTAAAGTCAGCAGTGCCACTAGAGTCTAAGTCGAAGTCTAGTCAGCTTGTACTACTGTATCTCTATTACAACAGATGTCCAATTAATTGGAATATTAGTCTGACTAGTTAGGCTTGACTATTTGATAAGTGTATGTAAACTCACTGTAATCATTATTCATCCATTCTGGAATGGACCAGGATCCTCTCCTAAATCCAACGGCTACAAATAGGGAGTTACTTTAAAGTTATAATAATTGTAGCTGTTAGATTTTCATCCAACGACCCACACGCCTTGATGAGGAGGATCCTCATCGTTAGTTCAGGAGAGGATCCTGGTCCTTCTGGAATATACCAATAGATTGACTAAACTCACTGTAATTAAAACTAGGGAAAATTTGAAATAGGTCCAATTTTATAGGCCTATTTTTGAAATATGTTCAATTTTTAGTGATTTTTGACTTTTGAAATAGGTCTAATTTTTAGTTACTTTGGACCCATATCAAAATATCCCAAAAAACTAGGGTCGTTTAGTCATCAAACTATTTAAAAACAAATGAACGGTATTGGTAAAAGTATTATAAACTATCTATGTATTTGCTACAATAGATTGACTAAGCGACATTTTTGCAAAAATGATCTTTACAATATGATTCATACTTCATAGTATTTACGATTCTGATCATAAGTACAAAGCTCCGCGATTAAAACACTAATGATATGTTTGGATGAAGAAATTTAAGATTACTAAGGAATTTAAAAATGACGAAAATTGAAATGACGAGATTTTATTTTCTAGAATTTGTAAATTTTTTTGTTTGATTAACCTAAAAGAACAATAGAATTGAATACGGAATTTGTTATTTTTAAACTCTCAATCATAGAAATTGAGAAATGACACCTATTTACATGAAATTTGAACTTGGAATTTGGAGGTCCCAAATTCCAAGTTTTTTTCCACGCAGAAATTCTAATTTCTATGTATATGAATCCAAACAAGAGAATTAGTGTATATCAATTTATAAATTTTGACTTTTACCAAAATTTCATATTTATTTCCCTCATCCAAACATAGTGTAAGAATTTTGAGTAGGAGTTCCTACTCATCTTTGAGTAGCCAAGTATTGTTCTATTTCTTATATGATTATTGTGTTTATATACTCAGTTTGTAATCATTATTCATCTGTTCCGAAATGAGTGTCTCCAGGACAATGAAGAAATTGACTGTCGATCCACAAGTAGTTACTGTGCATACTTGGGGAGTAATGTCATTAGTTGGAGTGCAAAGAAATAACATATTGTTGCTCATTCTTCAACAGAGAAAGAGTATATATCTCTTGCTAGACCCGATGATCGTGTCGTGTGTTTGGTGTTCGTGGTGTTTATGCGACATACCTGATACCTTAACAGATCGTGTCGTATCAAGTATTATGTACTCCAAAATAAGAGTCTAAAGAAAAACGTTAGTACATTACTACAAAATATCAAATGTACATGGATATGCATATTGCAAATGAAGGGAGGTTTTTTTCAAGGTTGTGGAGCCTTTTTCAATAGTCAGAACCTTACCAATGAGCCATAGAGAATATAAAGGGAGTTGGTACTTGGAATCTCTGGACTTTGACCGATGAGAGATATGATATAGAGTGAGAGGCTATTAAAAAAAATTCAATGGTAAGGATTTAATCTCACATGGCTATTATAGTAAGGATATTTTAGTAGTTATAAAATTACCAAACTAACCTTTTTCTTGACAGGTTGAAATGGGTGACCTGATAATGACCCAATTAGTTAACGTATTGACTCGAAACTCGTTATTTTCGTGTCAAGTTAACAAATCGTGCAAGAAATTGTCAGATCTATCTCTTGCCCAAACAGCTGTAGAAATTACATGGATTTGAAAGAATTCGAGATATTGGATTCCTTTGTCTTAAGTTCCTACTCTTTGGTGTGACAATGTTTCTACCATCTCCCTTGCCTCCAACCTAGTGTTTCATGCTCGCACAAAACACATAAAAATTGATTACCATTATATAAGAGGATTAGTCCTTGCTCATCTGCTCAATGTGCATTATGTTAGTGGCCAACAACAAATTGTTGATATTCATACTAAGTCTCAAAGGTCAAAATTCAATATCATCAATCTAAGCTTTCTCTTGGTTCCCATCCGTTCAGCTTGAAGAGGTGTAAAAAGACACCTCATCATCCAAGTCAAAGTCAGCAGTGCCACCTAGAGTCCAAATCATAGTCTAGTCAGCTTGGACAGCTGTATATTTTAGTTTAGCACTATAATATTTGTTTTGATCTACCTAGAGTTATGCTTGCGGTATTTGTAGCACAATTTCTATTGTCATATTAGAATAACTTTTTTTTTTGGTCAACTGAAGATTTTACTACAAGGTCTGAATAAATATCGTACAAAAATCAAGCAGATGTAGAAAAAAACAACCACCTTCATAAATAAGGGAGGATACAAACAGAACACCACTTAAACACTACATCATATGTGTAAATGTCATATTAAGTTAGTCAAAACTTATGGTAAATGAGAATTATGTGCAATTAAAAACCTTGAGGAAAGGGGAGATGAATTTCTTGGCAATTCCACAAACAACATGACACAATCTCCGACAAAAAAACCATCACAAGACCCATATACAAATTACATGAAACTTATAGCAAGACCTTCTTCATGATTGCATTGGATGAGAGAAGAAGGCCTACAATATCACAATGACTCAAGGAAACCAGTTTTTATCAAAATAGCATTCCTCACTTTGCTAAGATCCCTGCCTTTGAGGGTCCTCCCTGCCCCTTCAAAAACAGAAAAAGAAGATATCTGACTCCTTGCAAGTCTCCTAGCAATAAACTCATGAGGGGGTACCTTCGAATTATACTCCTCCTCCTCCTCCTCCTCCTCTACCACCACCTCATAATCATCACCGCTATCTCTGCCGCCATCATCCCCGCCTTCATCACCATCGCCATCGCGCTCATATTTCCGCCAAGAAACATTCTTGGAGGCCTTGTTTGGTTTCTGACCGTAAGCCTTGGACCAATCAGGAATGTTGACAGGTGCTGATTGCTGCAAAAATTTGGCTTCATGGTTGGTTGTGTTGCTGCTGCCAATTCCGTAATTGTGGCTGCTGGGTTTCGGAATCATTCTTGAGGCAGTTGGGAGGTGCCTTAGAATAGAAACATGGGAATTTTTGGATCCGTTAGCCATATTTTTACCACAAGTATTGTTTCTATCTTTTAGAACCTCCCAAACATCATCTTCCTCAAAGTCTCCATCTCTCAAGGCCCTCCAAACTCCACTGCCCTGCCTTATTAGGCCATACCTATTCTCCATTGCTGATTATCCCCTGCCTACCTATCCAAAGAAATTGAAACACCAAAAAATGACTAAGTTGGAGAGACAGAGAATTTTTTTTTTAAAAAACTTATTCGAGCGATATTCTAATCCAATCTAAACTACGGGGAAAGGGATTTGAACTATGAAGAGATTCTTGAGATTACTCAAGAGGATTTGGGTGCAAAACCCTTGAAAAAATGTCTCAGTTGAGGGAAATAAGAATCTACCTTTCGGTGATTGAGAAGCACCAGGCACCACAACTTTCCCAAGATTCCAATCAAAGGGGTATCTCTGCAACATGGGAAAGCAAATACCAAGTTAAAGAGAAAGGTTCTGCAGATGATGATGTTCTTTTCTTTTCTTTTCTTTTACCAGAAAATTGAAAGCACAACGAAGTTTGGACAAGAATCTTACCTGAGTGACTGAATTTGAAAGAGTTCCACTAGGAAGGGGTAGATTTTATGGAGCAGGGAAGCAGCAGCCACAAGTGGAAAAGGGCAGTGAAAAGTGGCATGAATAAGACAGACCGCCCTTTTGTAGATCTCCCAGTTGATGGTTTTCCATGAAACTTCTTTTGGTTCCCAACAAGTTTTGACTTTGAATTCAAGAAGAAAGGTAAATAAAACCCAAAGGTGAACTCAAGTTGGGTAAAAAAACGTTTTTATATGCGGTCTTACCTTTGTTTTATAAAGAGATCGTTTTTACTACTGAAACCCGTGATCCTTCAATCATAAAATAGCAACATTTTCATGGCGATCCTAAATATAAAAAAATATTCCTTGGTAAATATTAGGGGTATTTTGATATCGGTCCAAAATAACTAAAAATTAGACCTATTTTAAAAATTAAAAGTCATTAAAAATTGAACTTATTTCAAAAGTAGACCGTTTTTACTACTGAAACCAGTGATCCTTCAGTCATAAAATAGCAACATTTCCATGGCGATCCTAAATAAAAAAAAAATTCCTTGGTAAATATTAGGGGTATTTTGATATCGGTCCAAAGTAACTAAAAATTAGACCTATTTTAAAAATCAAAAGTTATTAAAAATTGAACTTATTTCAAAAGTAGGCTTATAAATTGGATCTATTTCAAAATTTTCCTAAATATTATTTGGGGAGTAAAGATCTTTTCAGGTGCTTCTATTTATTTATTAATTATTTAGAGAAAAAGAAAGAAACAGCTAATGTATGGCTAAGAATGAGGATGCTGAATTTATTTTTTTGGCAAACATGAGAATGCTGAATTGATGGACTGCTTCAGATTAGTGGTGGGATGCTTTCCTTTCAAACCCCACTTGCATTTTTCAAGTTATTTATCATTTCATTTTTATATATTATTAAAACAAATAATACAGCAATATTCTAATGCAGAATTAATTAATAAGTCTTTGCCTTGTGTTGCTGTGCTTCTGCTTCCTCAGATTTTATTCTTCATTTTCTTCAGGGCAGCAGCAGCAGATATGCACATGTTTAACGTAGAAAATGTTTTACTTCCCAATTGTTAGATTTTATAATTATATAGTTATATGCAAAGAATCAGAGTAAACAGCCGTGACTTAAGCAGCTGCGAAAATTGTTGTAACCAAATATTTACATAAATACCAAAATAAGGAAAATGATTTTTAGAAAATGAGAAATCGAGAATGTGAAAATTGTTAAAGAAAAACCGTTAGAAATAGTAGTTAGGTATTATAATGAATGGAAAGAGTCGAAAGACTAAGAGCTAGTTTGATATTGTTGTGTTTTAAAAAAAAAAATTGTTTCTGCTGTACTGTTAGAATAAACAGCTGTAAAATAAAATTGTTGAGTGTTTGGTAAACTTTTTTTTTTTTTTGTAAAAGTGATTTAACAAAAAAAAAAACAGTGTTTGATAACTTTTCTATAAATTGTTGTGAATATGTTAAATGACTAAAAATGATATGGTATTTAATGTAATATAATAATTGTCAAAAAGAATAATGTAGGGGCAATGATTGTAATTTTGTAAAATATGTGAGGGTTAATTGCCATTTGATTTTTTTTAAATGGTTACTAATTACTATGCTTTGAAAAAAAAATTCATTTTTTTAGAAGCATGGTAGACTATGCTTCTGTTTTTCTATGTTTTTCTACTGTCATTGACAAACTCAGGGACCACTCTATTGATTTCCAATCTCAAGGATGAAAATGATGAGTTATATCAATCTTATGGACTATTTTAACTAAAATGTGTGTTTATTTTAAGTCATCGAGGACATTTTAGGAAGGACAAAAACAAAATAAAAGAGAATCAAGACAAGAAAATAAAATTGTAACTGTGGATTGAAAGGGAAATCTAAATTTGTATATGGATTTTTTTTATTTAGTAAAAGTGCTTTTAATAATAAAAAAAAACAATGTCTGAGTGTTTGATAGCTTTTATATAAATTAATGTGAATATGTTAAATGACTAAAAAAATAATGTAGTATTTAATGTAATATAACAATTGTAAAAAAGAATAATGTAGGGGCAATGATTGTAATTTTGTAAAATATGTTGGGGTAAACTTGTTATTTGAAAATTTCATTAAATGGACACTAATTACTATGCTTTGGAAAAAAAAAAACACTTTTTAGAAGCATGGTAGACCCTGCTTATGTACATATATGTTTTTCTACTGTTATTAACAAACGAGACCACTTTTATCATTTTAAATCTTAGGAACTAAAGTGAGGAGTTATGCTAATTTTAGAGACCATTTTAACTAAAAAGCGTTTTCATTTTGAGCTATCGAGGACATTTTAGGAAGGACAAAAACAAAATAAAAAGTGATGCATGCATGTGTGAGGAAGAAATGTGAGTAGAATCAAGACAAGAAAATAAAATTGTAACTGTGGATTGAAAGGGAAATCTAAATTTGGAATGTCCTTGCTGTTGTAAACAGCATGTCGAGGAGCCGACATTCATTGTATTTGGGCGTACCAAGTTGCATTGTCAAAGGACAAAAAACACGAGCAATTGCCCCCATTTGCTCGCTCTAAAGTGTGAATCGATCACTTAAAAAACAACCACAAGAATCTCTCAGGGAAAAGCGCCTTAAACTTATTATTAATAAGAAAACATCCGAATAAAGTTGTTGAATCTTATTGCTAATGTGGTGCAATGCATATGCATTAGATGGCCGTGGCCGTAAAGTTATGCAGTTGCGTCTCTTAAATACAAATTGATACCGTAAACTTATCTCGTGTTTACTTACTTGGAACAAAAGAAGTCATAACTCATAAATATAGAAGAGAAAAAAGGACCGAGGGATCGGCTACCCCTCCTAATCGAATCTACCTAGTTCTAGACTTTTTCTAGGTATTAAATTACTGATAGTATTGCGCGATTCACATTCTTTTTGATTCTGTATGCATTGATAGACTCATAGAAAATAAAGAATGAGAATAATTCCAATACTCATTCTGAGTAAGTAAACATTCCATTCGTGTCGTCTGTTGTAATTTCTGGATATTGTCCTGAGTTTATATGTTTGTGTCTCACTAATGGCTATCATGTATCCTAATCCATGGGAATGTATTCATATTAGGAGGAGAAGATCTTGATTTTTGTAATTTTTGCTAGGCGATATCATCTGTAACTCCACATTTCTAATCTATGGACACAACCAATCGAGCAAGTTTAGTCAGAGAAGTAGAAGATGGAGCTATCTGATTCATATTTGAAGCTCCAATCCCGCCAACAATTCCAATTCACAAACAACAGGATCTGCTTTTGTTTTATCATGAACAATCTGGCACAAAAATGAACAAAGAACGAGGACGATCCTGAGACTACTCAAACTCCTTTAGTGCCTCGGCTCCAGCAACAATCTCCAATATCTCCCCTGTAATCTTTCCCTGTCGTTGCCGGTTGTAAACATTTGAAAGAGACTTCGTCAAGTCAACTGCATTGTCAGTGGCATTACTCATAGCATTCATTCTTGCTGCGAGCTCACTTGCTGTTGATTCCTGTAGTGCCTTCAGAATCTGGCTGTTCAAGTAGAGAGGCATCATGGCATCAAGAATCTGAACAGGGTCCTGTTCGAATTCCATAACCGGCGAAAGCCCTTCCCTCTTTATCTTCACACTCCCCCTCTCCATACTCAGTTTGCCTTTTTTAGTTGTCAACCTAAAGAAATCATCCTCCGTTGCATCGACACTATTCCCATTCACATCAACAACCTCTCCCCTTGGCAACAATGGAAGCAATGTATGAATAACCGGTTCAGATTTCACCAACGACACAAATTTAGTGTACACAAGCTCAACTTTATCAACCTCTTCGCTAACAAACAGCGAAAAAACGTCATCAGCAATGACCTGAGCCTCTTTCGTTGTTGCAAACAACCCACCTTCAATAAACCTATCAACACAAATCTCAGGCCTACGCATGAAATACGAGTTACCCTTTTTGCCAACACTGATCAAAGTGAAATCCAACCCAAGTTTCTTCAATTCCGTGATTCGGGCCTCGGTCTTTTTGACCACGGAGTTGTTGAAGCCGCCGCAGAGGCCTCGGTCGGCTGTGATGACGACAATGGCAACTTTCCTGACGGGTCTAATATTTGTGAGAGGGACGTCAATGTCTTCACACTGAAGCCGCTCATTGATGTCGTACAGGACCTCCACAAGCGTCTCAGCAAAGGGTCGGCCATTGATGACTGCTTCCTGGCCCCTTCGAACCCTGGCAGCCGCCACGAGCTTCATGGCTTCGGTGATTTTCTGGGTATTTTTTATGGAATCGATTCGCACTCGGAGCTTACGCAGACCGCAGCGGGTTGCTGAAGATCGAGAACAGAGAGGTTGGGGTGAGATTTGGGGCAAAAGGGGTTTAGGGTTTTGGAGAAATGTGTTGGAAAATAGGGGTTTTGCAGATACCCACATGATTGAATTGGATATCGCCATCGGGTTCTGGTTTTGGTTTTGCAGAAATTAAGCGAATTCAAAATCTCTGCAAAATGCCTAACTGGATTGAAGCTTTACGAAAGCATCAAAATTGAAAATTTCTGTGGGAAATTGGATCTTTGGAACAACATTTTTGTTGGTGGAAATTTACTCCTGAGATTTGTGGAGTCAGGACTCAGGAGTCAATTTGACTAGAGTTGGCTTGAGATGGACTGTGGAGCTGAGCATATGTTTTGGATTCTCCGGCGAGGTTTAAACTCAATACTACAGAGCGGTATCTAACTGTTTGATTACCGAACGAGATCATTCATCGTTGAGGAAGAATTAATGGGAAGTTTACATCCGTTTAACCTGAAAAATTTTATTTGAACCCATACAACTTTTTTCTACGTTCAAATACAAGTATAATTAACCATAAAACAAATATTTATCAGTAAATCCACTCCCAAAAATTAAATACCATCATACAATGTTTATCATACATTTATTCCGGCTAAAACCCTAAAAATTCTCATAGAGAAAAACAAGTTTTTTTAGAGTGGATAAAAGATGAATTTTTGGGCTTTAATTCACAGCTATCAACGCTAGAAGTTGAGAAGATGGGTTTTTGAGTTTCACAATATATATGGTGGCGAAGCCTCCACTACCAATTTGGTTTCCTCGATGGTTTAGGCAAATCTTATAATTCCATGTTTCTCTCATCCCTTCATGCAATTTGGTTTCCTCGACGTCTTAGGCATACTACTTGCCTCATCTCTTTCATGCATTTTCTGCAAATATTATAATTCCACGTTTCTCTCATCATTTCATGCAGTTTTGGCAAATATTATTTTCTTCTTCCTGTTTTCTCCTTTTTAGTAGATATATATGGAGAAGTATACAGAGGAGGAGCAATGACATTGAGTTATGAGGATGGAGGCTGAAGGATTTTCACCCCTTTAACCTAATATTCTTTCAAATTCGACCGAAAAAACTCTTATATTATTTATGGATATATTTTTAATTAATTTGAAGTTTGTTTTAACTTTTTTGCCATTGCCATGCATCTAGTCTTCTCAACAAACACAACAGTTCGTCAAATTCAAGCCATACAATCTAAAGGAAAAACTAATAAAGAAACTATTATTAGTTTATGGAAGATTCATAAACAAGTAGAACTTCACCAAATTATTCAATGTGAGATTTTATTTTCTAAAGGGTTGTAAAGATAAATTTACATTTTGAATTGAGTTTGTGAGGTTAGTTTAGGTAGTAAATTTGGGTTTAAAGATGTATTAAGTATTTAATTAAAAATAATAGAGTGTAGATAGTAAATTGGATGTAGACAGAAGTTATATGGGTTCAAATAAAATTTCTCTTAACCATTTTGTCTCTGATCAAGAAGTTGGGTTTAAATTTAGAGAAATTGCATAATAACGGTGGAAGTCCTCCAGACTCCAAAGTACCAACTTCACGAAACCTCTTGAGAATGTGTACGATGATATTCATTAAAACATGGTGCGATGACAAGTGCCTTCACCCATGAGCGGTAGGTCTCGGGTTCGAGACTTGGGAGCAGCCTCTCTATAAATGGAGGTAAGGCTAGCCGACATTCACCTCTCTCAGACCCTGCGTAAAGCGGGAGCCTTGTGCACTGGGTACGACCTTTTTTATGGAATGAATAAGTAAAAAAGAAGGATAGGAGTAGGGTTCGGTTTCATTCAGTTCTTAGTTTAATTTTGTTTTAACTTTTATTTTATATTTTTTTTCACCATTTAGTGTAAGTATAATGTCGTATTAAAAAGTGTGTATATATATATATATAATTTTTTTTTGAACAAACAATATTTGAATTATTTTTAATTAAAAACTAAAATATTTGTAAAAGTAGATTATGATAATAAACAAAAATATTTAAAGTGTTTGTAAAGTTAAATTACCAGAACATAACAGAAAATATTTAACATTACCGAAACATTTATTTTCTTAAATGAGTTTTACTTTTTATGACAAACAACATACAACCATTTTAATTCACATAGAAATGAATAAGGGTCAAAAACCAAGAATTTTAATCAAAAGTAAAGGCCTTGACATTTAGTACTAAGATCTAATGATATTTTTTATATTTATAAATAAAAAATTTTAGATTTAATTCTCGTAAAATATGAATTTGAATCAAATTATTATGATCAACCTGGTAGCCTGGTAATAAGGATAACCCACTTTCTCACGAACAATCCAACATTCACGAAATATCGAGGCTAAAAAAATTGTTTGAGGGTTTGGCCCAAAGCCCAACTTGTGTCCTGACGCCTAACCCGGGCACGCATTTCAAAATCGGGTTGAACCGTACCAGCTCCACCCCAAACACCAACAATCAACCACCGCGACAAGGAGGCTTTAAGCGGTGTTATTTTGACCGCCGACGAGTCCTGGCTATTTAATTAGCGACTCCTCTCCAGGAAGATGCTGTAGCAGAACACATACCAAACCCAAATCTAGAATCTCTGTAGAAACAAAACAAACATTGGATTGCAATTCTTGGGCATCGAAGACGATGGTGGTAATGTTTCATTGAATCCCTTTTGAAATTTAATTGAATTGGGGGAGAGAAATGTCGAAGCTGTTTCAGAAGGTTGCTGGGTTCTTCACCAATCGGACTATGGTGGGAATGGACAAAGCTGGCAACCGTTACTTCGCCAGAAAGGAGGAGGTCGATGGCATCAGTAAGTCTCTCTCTCTCTCTCTCTCTCCATCTCTATTGTTTGTTGCTTTCGTTTCTGCTGCAATTTTGACTCATGGGTTTTGTTCAGTTTGCGTTTTGTAATTGAATCCCTTGAATTTGCCAATTGGGTTGTCATTATTGTGCTTCAACATTTGCTACATGGGATTTAAAGGAATTGCATTGATTTCTGGAGGTGTGAATTGAACTCTGTGAAGATTTATGATTGCATTTCCTAACTTCGTAAGCGTTGTTCGTATATTTTGTTTTGGATTCAGGTAAACACTTAGAAAAAAGGATTGTTTGAATTAAAGTTAGAGAAGTGGAATTTACCTCCCCTAGTGAGTTGCCAGGACCAATGAAAGATTTAATAGCAGCCATTACCTCTTTCCCGCCGTATGCCAAAGTTAGAGTGAAGAGAAGATCAGCGTTACCATTTGCACCTGGGGTGTTGTCGTTTTCATTGAAACAGTTGTGTATTAATCTCTTTCTATTACTTTGGTTGCTGGCAGAGGCTTTTTCCTTCTTAGATTGGTACTGCAAGTCTATAACGCAGTGGACAATATTCTTAATTCTGTATAATTTATAAATTGGAAGCCATCGTAGCTAATATCTCATGTTAACCATATATAGTTTCCTAAAGCATGTGTTCTGATTAGTTGAGCTGAGTATTTTATTTATGAAAATGAAATACCAAAGTTTGCATTGAGTTGTTCGTCGAGGGTGAGATAATCGATTACAATGTGGTATAGCTTAAAGAATATGAAGCTGTATTTGTAATTTGTGCGGGAGTATTATTCTGTGGTCAATTCACTCAAGTACTAGCAGGATTAATGCTCTTTTTGTCACACTCTCTCTGATGCACCAGTGAAAGAGAAAAGATGGGTGGCATTCAAGGGCGAGGACGATCCGACCTCAATTCCAGGTAATTTGTGTGGACCTAGTACAGCTTTTGTTCAGTTTCAAAATCTTGGTCACTTGTTTCGAAGTATTTTCCTTTGAGTTATCAGATTAACGAAAAGGGTACTCCATTTTGGGATGTTGAAATATGGTATAACTACCTATCCATATATACACTTTTTGTATATACTGTCATTTGGAAATTGGAATGCATTTATTTATGGCCTTTCCTCTACCTTCTTTATGTTCACTCTTTGATCATTTTAGTTGAGTGGATATGTTGGCTCAACGGGCAGAGGAAAAGGGCTCCAACACCGGAGGTAATCTTGACATCTGTTTGTCTTTAATTCCTTGGTGTAATAAAGAGGAAAAGTTTGTTTAGATTTTGTTGGTAAAAAAGATGGAATATTTTTATGTTACCATTTATTTTGAGTCACCATTGACTCGTCTTCCTAGACGCTCATGCTATAATACACACCTTTTTCTCATCATGATATCTAATTCTTGTCTAAGAGATAGTTTGTTATTGTCGTTTCATTTCTGCTGCTTGACAATCTTTTCTATTCCTCAGGAACTGGCAGAATTGGAAGCTAGACGTGAACGTGTCCGGCAGAATGTTGCTCGTATGTGCCATCTCTATCATTAGTTTCTGGTTGCTTCTACTACTTTCTGGCTCTCTTTGAACCATTGAGTTGTAGGTTTGCTAAGAAGTTTTTATTACAATATCATTACTGAACTTGTGACTTCTGTAGGAATTTCAATCAAAATGTAGGATAAGTGAATCAAGGCATGCAATAGTTGCATATTAACGTAGATGTCCTTGTCATAAATTTCTGAGATAAGAGAAGAGATATAGAGAATGAACGAGAGACATCTACACAGCCAAAGATAGTGGCTACTAGTATAAGATTAGCCCTCACCAGCCTTAAAATAGGCCTCTTAGTGGTAAATACTTGAATGCTGCCAATAGTGGCAAGAAAGAAGTTATCTTACTTTCATTTCTTATGTGTCAAATTTAACCCAGATAGCTGGTATCATCTTAGTCAAGAGATTACTCTTAATGGACTGTTCTCTGTATCTTTGAAATATTTATGCAGATCCAAATTGGGATCTGGCATAAAATTTTGATACGTCGATTTAAATCAGCTTTAAGTGCTTTCTAGATTTTATTCAATGAATCCCGTTGTTGATGCATTTTCTTGAAGGACAAACATTCTTATCATGACATCTTGAAAGCTTCAGTGGGAAATTGGATTGGCTTTACTTTCAGTTTTCTATTTGATACAGAGATTTTAAGAAACATATATTATTTATTTGTTTTTTATTTCTCAAAGTTCTAAAGAAAGAAGAAGAGGAAAGGAAAGCAAGAGAAGGCAGTACGCGCAAAGTCATCAACACCGGTCAGCTTCTTACTGGAACGTTTATGATATCTGTACCCCTATGCTCATACAATTATTCACAATTATGAGCTATGTTTATAGATAAAGTTGGAGGTCCAGACTTGAAAAGTTTCATTCAGCAATTTCCTGGGTCTTCTGAAGGTAACTTGTCATTTATACCCTACCCACCCTCACATACATGTTGTTTAGGATGTGGATTTTTATCGTAAGGCTTTCTTTTAGAATGCAAAATCATTCAGTTTTTATCCTGCATAACCATTTGTTGCATTCTGTCAAGGCAGATTATGCCAGATTATATGAAATTTTTTACAGAAAGGTTTTGTAGAATAAGGAGTTTTATTTAAAGATTGCAGAATCTTTGTTCCTTGTTGGTCCTGCTGAGCATCAAAATTTGTTGCCTTAATTTTATTTTTTCGAGGTAGAATGTGCCAAATTAATTTTCTTTCTGATGTTTGTCTTCCTTGTTTCTTCGCAAAGGTGGCGTAAATCCGGAAGAATCTGTTGCCACGGAAGGAGTGAGGTCGGTCTGCTAACACACAAGGATTATGAATGATGAAGTTAAATAACAAGCACTACTAATGAGATTATAGCATTTATGTTTCCTTGAAATTTCATCTTGATACGATTACCGAAGGAAAATAAAACAAAGAAACATAACTCCATGACTTATACCCTGCTCAAGTTTCTTTTGTCACGCATATTTCATATTTCTTTATGGCCATGTCATGTCTTTATGTTTACATTGTTGTGTTGTTAACATGGCACAGGAACTCCAAAGAGAAAGAGGCAAAGAAAGCAAAAGAAGCTCCGGAGTATGTTCCATATTCCTCATCTGCATGTTTGCTCGAGCATCACTACTTACATATTGAAATCATGAACAATGTGATAATGATGGGAATCTGTGAATTTCCTTGCTCTGAAATTTATAAACAAATAGACTCAGAAGATATTTTAAATAGTGACGTATATTAGGATAAATTTCATTTTCCCTAGTTTTCCCCCAGATTGCCTGCTGGATTGATGATTCTACATGTTGAACTTTTCTTCCAGGTCGACAGAGCCAACAGGATCTGGTCAAACATTCAGGCCAGGGACATGGCAGCCGCCAACATGAAGTTGAATTGATAATTTCCATGGTGCATAATTAAGGGTCCAACTACGCTAACCCTTGTGTCCAGGCATAATGCAGTGATTTGTTCTTCCGGTGCCAAAGAGTATAGCTGAGTTGTTAAAATGTTAGTGAATCTCTTATGGTTATAGCCTTGTAGGGCGCTTCTTTTGTGGCACAATGCAGTGCATTTGATTTTTGTTTTCCCTGTCGGATCCAAAGAAAAGAAAAACAAGCACAATACATCCTTCATTTTTAGTTTTCTGACAAGGGAATACAGCGTTGTACACCAAATTTTTGTTACATTTATGTACGAAGTCGCCATGACTTGCGTACGAATTTTGTTGTGTGATGGTCTTAAAAGGAAATAAATTTAAGGTTATATGTCATATCATTCCAATTGCCTGCAGTCATGGGTTGTATATGCACCATGGTAATGCAGAACACTCAACAATTTCAAGACAAAATAATCAGCATAAGACATTTATGATTTATTCTCTCTTTCTTTTCCTTTTTTTGGGTTTTCTCTTCTCATAACTTCCATACTTTATGCATTCCCATTTTTTGTGATTGGAAACGACAAATATATGAAATTTGAAAATCTTGTTTTGATATTCTTTAGTGTATATAAATGAAGATCTATAAAAGGTGATATAAAAAAGTAGTGAATTAGTAATACCGCCTCATAGTAAGTGGTGGATCTAGAAAATAATATTAGCGGGCTCAGTAAGAATGCGCACAATTTTTTTTTACTAGAAATATCATGAATATCGTCATTTTATCGAGTCTTGGTGGGACTGAAGTCATTTGGAAAGGCATACTGCACACCTGTTAATGCCTCATTTGTGAGGGTAACTAACATGTTTCAAGACTGCTCCCATATGAATACTTAACAAAGAAACACACTTATCTTGAACACACTAACAATGTTTGATATCATTGCATCCCATTAATATGTTTGTCCAAGAATAATGATGCTTTGTTATTCACTGAGATCACCATTTCATTCACTCTGCTTTCAGACATTTTATCAAATAGTTGGATGACATGTATGAAGCCAACTCTAATATTCAAAAGGACGGCACCCAAGGTATCCATGGATATTCATCGAAGTTCGGAGGGTCAACACCTAAGGTATATATGGACGTTTACCGAAGTTCGAGGGTTAGCTGACCCCCTGCCCCTCAATGCATCTGCCACTGCTCATAGTGTAAATAGTTATAAAATAAACACTCGATTTATAAATTGTTAATGCATGAAGGGCTTAATTATAAATAGCCGAAGACAATGAATTATTTAGATTTTGGAGGAAATTAAATAATCATTTTGCACTTGAGCGTAATATAAGAGTGGTACCCATGAAGGAATATGGGCATTGTTCGGGGTGGCATACACTCAGGGCCGGCCTAGAAAGGGTGCTAGGCGTGCGATCGCACATTTTTAGGGGACTCTTGAATTTTAATAATCTTTATAATGTATTACATATAGCAAGAGTGTGATTAATTCATAGTGTTGCCTTAGGGAAATCGTTGCTTTTGCACGGGTTCGACTCCCAGTAGAACCATTTTGGGCCCTTTTTGAACTACATTTATTTTTTCTTTTCTCTTTAATATTTGTAGTTTAATTTCTATCATTATAAAAGATTACTTTTGATGATAAATTTATGATTATGAATATCATAATTAATTAAAATCCTTACAAGTTTGAAGATATAATCTTTAAAAGCCCCCTTTCCATATATGACATCATTTAATCGAATACATGTCATTCGGTTATTCTTTTGGTCACCCGTTAAGGATCATCTAATTTTCATTCAATTTGAAGACTATTTAGTCATCCATATAAAAAACAATTATAGTACAACTTTGCTCACAACACTAAAGTGGAGGTGAGCAGGTGATGCTCATGCCCCATTGATTATTGTTAGATTAATTTGGTTTAATTGATTTAAGACATGAATCTCGAATTCTAACTAATCTAACGACAATCAACCGAGTGGGGATTATAATCATTCCCACTTTAGAGAGTGAGAAAAAATGCAATAAAAAAAACTTATAGTTCATTATAAGATGCTACAAATATCATAACTAGTGATTTGTTTAACTAGTTCATAATAAGGAGCATGAGTTGTTCTGATTATGATATATGTACGGTGATATGATATGTACATAGCCACCACACCATGCTTTTTCTATTTAAAAAGTAAGGAGTTTCGACCCAAAAAACGTAAAGAATGTAGAAACATAGCCACCAAACCATGCTTCTTTTTTATTTATATCAATTTATACACAAGAAAACAAATTTAAAATATAAAGGAAAATATAACAACCAAAATTTAGACCTTGTAAGGGTTTCCGTTTGAATCTCGCACAGAGCCTCCAAAATCTCAAGACCGGCCCTGCATACGCTATCTGCAATGAATTTGTAGTTGCCATGGATGAACATAGAGTACTCGAAGCATGTATAGAGTGGCCAATCTAGCCTAGGTCAAGGCTAAATCTGGTCCAAAATGACCATTTTCGGCATTTAGGAGTTTGGAGTGAGCCATGCGATTTGGATTTCAAGCTCAAGTCTACCCAAGCCTTATACCAAACCCTAGTTGTTCGTAATCTTGCTAAATATTCCATATTAAAATTATTAAATTTTCGTAGGGATGCGAACATCAAATAAGAAGAAGCTTCATCGACTTCAGCACAAAAAATGATTATTATTATTATTTTTTTAAATAATTTTCACCCAACATTCTTCCATGTTGTGTTCGTCAACAATTGACAATGGTTCATATTTTTGTCCAAAGTTATACAAAAATCCGGCTGCTACGTGGTAAATATTGTTTGTGAGACAAGTGAGAGAACTAAACACAAAGAAACATCAACAATTGACAATAATTCATATTTTTGTCAAAAGCTATACAAAATATGACCAAAACGCAATAAATATTGTCTGTGAAAGAAGTGAGAGAACTAAACAAATGGTGAAAAAGAGACAAATTTAAGAGAAGTGCCAGGTGGTCAGCACCTTCCTCTATTCTTCTTGCAATTCTTGAAATTTTCCTTGTCAATATCTGATTTATTTTTGCTTTTCTTTGCACTTTAGAAAGGGAAAGACGGGCAGGTGGAGGCCTACTGGCGGTTGCTCATACCCAGTTTCGTGCAATACTTTCTGTTTGGTTGGTGGGAAAATGGTGAGAGGGGAAAGAGGAGGGCCAATTGTCACATCCCGATCCGGGGTCCACCACATTCCGGGTCCGCTCCACCGCCATAACACGATATTGTCCGTTTTGAGCTCCGACCACGTCCTCACGGTTTTGTTGTTGGGAACTCACACTAGGCCTGGGCAAAAAATACCGAGAACCGAACCGAACCCGATCGGTTCGTTTTTTTTTTCGGTTCATTCGGTATGTGTACAAAATCGGTTCAGTTTTTTGTGTAGTCGGTTCGGTTTCGGTTCTACGTTTGGTACCGAACTGTACCGATAAAATTTTCAATAAAATTGTTTTTCCACGTGGCTTGTTTTTATTGGTTTCCCAAGGATTTGTTCACACGAGAGAACTCCTCCCTGAGTCCCTGCGTAAGAAAGCTCACTTCTCACTTGAAGAAAACTCGTATCTTTGGTTGGTGGTCTCTCTCTCAGTCTCTCTGTGCGTTCGTCCACCACTCCTCCTCTACAATCTCTCTCACGGTTTCACCTCCACCACAACCATCGTGGCATTTTGCATTTTATAAAATTAGGGTTTCAAATTGGGATTGGAATTGGGGGTTTCTCTGAAATTGTAAGATTATGCTAAGGCTTTGAAGTTTGTCCGTTGGATTTTGTAGTTTTGATGTAGTTAATCTCTGTTAGTTGCATTTTTCATGACTACACTTTTCACAGATTCAATTGGTGAACTGTGTTGGTTGGAATTGGTTAGTGCACTTGCATTTTTCTTGGTTGGTTCTGGATGAGTTCTTGGTTGTTTAGAAATTGGGTTTTCAATTTTTCATATATATATGTAATAGGTATAGCTATATACGTACATATATATCTAGTAGTAGTTTATAGCTATATGCATATACCTGCCGCTAAGAGGTGCAATATGTTAGTAGCTTTTCCCAATCTTCTCATATGTTGGAAGTAGATACTTCCAACATATATACGTTCAAAGAACTTTGTAATAGGTCCTCTACTTTTGCTTATCTGAATTTCTTTTATGGAGTACTTTGATTCTTTGGCAGCATTATAGGTTTTTACTTATTTGAAATTAACTGTGCCACAGTTTTTGTTGGAATAGACATACTAACTATAGTCTCTGTTTTCCTCAAATCTTGTGGGAAATAGCTGGATAGGAAAATGTGCTAAATGGTACCCATGTTTAGTTGAACTTATTACGATGTAGGAAAGATGTTTTTTGAACATGGATTAGCACATGCATCATCTCTTTGTGGTGGTAGTTTCTCACAGATTAATTTTCGTCTCTGTTAGTCATGCAACCTTCAACATTCCCATTGAGTTATTATGTATCGAATCTATCGATTGATATGTAGGATTAGGTTTTCAAGAATAGACTCATTATCTGTGCCATCTCCTTGAGAAATGATATATTTTGAACTACACATTTTAGGGAAATGTTTTGGTTTGGTGTTATATTTATCTTTGGAGCTGCATGGTACAAGTTAATCTCTGATTGTACTTTTGTTTATTCCTTAACTTGTTTATAGCTATAAGCATATGATTCCTTCACTTTTTTATTTTTTATTGGTTTTTGTATATCTTTAAAGATCAAACCTTTTAAAAGGTTTCTTATAATTGGATGAGGGGTGATGGCATTATCACCTTAGAAGATGATGCACCTTCGTTGGAGCACTTAGAGTTCTACGAAAGTATTGAAGCGGGTAATTTCTTATTTCTCTTCTTAGTTCTTGTTTGTTATAATTTTTTAGATTTTATTCTTTGTGTTTATAAGTTGTGTATATTTTTGTATTATGTAGAGTTGTTGACATCAAGCATTTCTTCCCTCTCTATTAATAATCCGGAACAACAAGCGTCATCTTCACAACCTCTTACCCGGCCTTCTCAAGCATCCACTTCACAAGCTTTTAACCGACCTCGAGCTTCAAAATGTGCTCAATCAAAGGTCCCTTCAAATCCTCACAAACCTCTAACCACCAAGGGTGTCAAGCGTAAGGCCCCTAATGGGTAATTGTTTTTATTTTATATGAATTGAGCTTATTAGTTATTAAGGCATTTAGTTTGATGTTTGCTATTACATTTGGATTGTATTAATGCCATAAGGCTTTGACTTAAAACTTTGATTTTTCATTTTGGTTTGTACTAATGCCATAAGGCATTTACTTGAACTTTGTTGTTGGATTGAATTTGTTCATGTTTGATGTTGTTGGATTGAATTTTTTG